CAAACTGCAGGCAGCAGGATAATAAAAGCCAACATATTCTGCCGGCAGGTTTCTACGTTTTAAAGTTGTAGTTTAGGATATTCACAAAGTTTTTGAAAATAGAACGACCCTGTCCATCCTGTATCTGGACTCCTCCCACTCTGGGTTCTGTCTCTGATCCGATGTCGGAGCAACAGGAACCAATATTCAGAATGAAGCAGGAGAGGAGCTCGGACTGGAGGTCAAAGGTCAAATGGGTCTAAGAGCAGTTTTTTAGTTGGTGTGAGGTCATCAGTAGGAGGTTCTGGTTGTGACCCGGTGGTTTGGACGTGGCCCACATCTCCTGTCCTCCCGCAGCCTCCCGCCGTCACTCCCGTTCAACCAGTGCCCTGTCCACAGCCGACGCCCACGGCCAGTCAGGTGACCTGCATGTCCTCCATTCCCAGTCTGTGGTTTGGTTCGTCTCCAGTTTGGTGGTTTTATTTATTGCTGGTTCAGTTTGAAGCTTTGCTTTGTGTTCCATCCCAGCATGTCAGGAAGAAGCTCCTGGTTCATCGTTTTCATTTTTTCAGACCTGAACTTCATGTCGAAAGTTAAACTTATTTGTTTGCTCCATTGTTTTTACCTGTTTGATGCCTGAATTATTCCTGTTTAGAAGAAGAAACACATGAAATAAGATGTTTAGCTGTAAGCGCATGCTAATGCTTCTCCTCTGAGGGAAACCAGCTCCTCTGTTCTGTTGGAACCCGGTTCCTCCTCTGTTGGAACCCAGTTCCTCTGTTGGAACCCGGTTCTTCTGTGGGAACCCAGTTCCTCTGTGGGAAACCCAGTTCCTCTGTTGGAACCCGGTCCCTCTCAGAGGGAAACCGGTTCCTCTGTGGAACCCGGTTCCTCTGTGGAACCCGGTTCCTCTGTGGGAACCCGGTTTCTCTGAGGGAAACCCGGTTTCTCTGAGGGAAACCTGGTTCCTCTGTGGGAACCCGGTCCCTCTCTGGGAACCCGATCCCTCTCAGAGGGAAACCGGTTCCTCTGTTGGAACCCGGTTCCTCTGTTGGAACCCGGTTCTTCTGTGGGAACCCGGTTCCTCTTGGAACCCGGTCCCTCTCAGAGGGAACCCGGTTCCTCTGTTGGAACCCGGTCCCTCTGAGGGAAACCCGGTTCCTCTGTTGGAACCCGGTCCCTCTTAGAGGGAAACCCGGTTCTTCTGTTGGAACCCAGTTCCTCTGAGGGAAACCTGTTCCTCTGTTGGAAACCGGTTCCTCTGTGGAACCCGGTTCCTCTGTGGGAACCCGGTTCCTCTGAGGGAAACCCAGTTCCTCTGTGGGAACCCGGTCCCTCTCAGAGGGAAACCCGGTTCCTTTGTTGGAAACCAGTTCCTCTGTTGGAACCCCGGTTCCTCTGTTGGAACCCCAGTTCCTCTGAGGGAAACCCGGTTCCTCTGAGGGAAACCTGTTCCTCTGTTGGAACCCAGTTCCTCTGAGAGGGAACCAGGTTCCCTCAGAGGAGAAGCTATAAAGTCTTACTGGCTCTTTTCCCAGATCGCTACGGTTTGATCCACCAGGCGAGGATCTCTGCGTCGGTGAACGCCATGCGGGTCCTGAACACCGGCACAGAGGTGGAGGCGGCGGTGGCGGACGCTCTGGTGAGATTCCCTCTTCTTCCAGATCAGAAACCTGTTTTACGTTCTTCCTTCCTTAAACGTGCGTTCTCTCCTCTGGGTTCCTGTTTCAGCTGTTAGGAGACTCCAGGAACAAGGTAGATCGGTTCCTCTCTCTGTTGGTCTGCCTGCCTCATCGCTCTCGTCTCATTTCTCTGCCCTTCACATCCTCTCTGCCATGATTGCATTAAATCTGCTTCATTGTGGAAACATCTTTATCTGGATGTATTTTCTAAAGAACAGGAGTTATTTCTAGGAACAGGCTGCATGCTGCTTCTCAGATCATCTCATTTTCCAGACCCCATGTTTCATGAGTTTTCTTCTTCTTCTGTGCTGCAGAGGAAGCCGCTGCGGCGGCGGTACGAGTCTCCTGGGATGTACTCTGATGATGACGCCAACAGCGACGCCTCCAGCGCCTGCTCAGAGCGCTCCTACAGCTCCAGGAACGGGGGCCTCCCCCACTACCTGCGGCAAACGGAGGACGTGGCCGAGGTCCTGAACCACTGCGCCAGCTCCAACTGGTCGGAGCGCAAGGAGGGCCTGCTGGGTCTGCAGACCCTCCTGAAGAGCCAAAGAATCCTGAGGTGGAAGGAAGTTTCAATCTCTGCTCTTTCAGGACTTCCTGGGGAAAATGTGGGAAAATCGTTTAGAATTTAATTAGAGCTCCATGATTTACCTCTGAACATCCTGCCTGAAGGATCCTGGATGCTCCTGAGGAGCTCCAGCTGATCCAATAGAAGATCCGCTCCCAGATTAGCTCCCAGATTATTTCCCTGATTATCTCCCAGTTCATCTCCCACTTTAGCTCCCAGTTAGCTCCCAGTGGGCGGGGCCTGTGTGTTAGTGATGAGTTCTGATTGGCTGCTTGTTCTTGTCTCTGCAGCCGAGTGGAGCTGAAGAGACTCTGTGAGATCTTCACCAGGATGTTTGCAGACCCTCACAGTAAGGTAGAGAACCTTCCAGATGTCTGTAGATGTTCCCAGATGTTTGTAGATGTTCCCAGATGTCTGTAGATGTTCCCAGATGTTTGTAGATGTTCCCAGATGTCTGTA